CAAGGCACTCCTGGCTGGCACATGAAATCATGGTGCCAACCTTTTTTTTTTTTTTTCTCTCCTCCATGTCTTAGCAGTTTTCAACAGGCTTTTCGCAAAAGACTTGGTTGTGCCCACCTGCCAGCTAACTTGATTTCTTTCGACTGCAGTGCAACAAGAAGAGTTTGCTCTGCTTATCACATTTGTACTTTGGTTATAGTGTCAGGCTTGGGCAGATTAATTGGTTGTAGCTCTAGCAGAGCTGTCAGGGTATTTAACCCATTGGAGAAAAATTACCTAAGCTGATGATAAACAGGCTTTAAATGCAGAGCAATTACTTAGTGCTAACAAAGCACCATGGCTACACGCTTTGTCCAAATGCAAAAAGCAAAGCCTTATCAGTGACTCTGTTTGCAGGAGGACACTAAAAGATAACCTTTGTTTGTATATATACTTACCTGATAAGATCATCTGAAAGGGAAGGGGTGAAATTTCTGATTCTGTCTTTCCTGCAGGTTGTGCTTCAGATTACATAGTATCAAACAAAAAATTGTAACTGTTGCAAATTGAGAATGCTCAATTCTTTGTTTTAGTTTGATCCCAAATCTCCTATGATGGGTTTCTTTCCTGCTTGCCTTGATTACTTTTATTCCTAGCACATTACAATAAAGCAGTTTAGAGATCTTTAACCAGCAGGACTTTGGATTTCATTGTTCACAGGGACTGGCAAAGCTAAAGGACTGGTTAGCATTGAACTTAGTTTGTTCACTGCAAACTTAACCCTGACTGGTGGCCAGGGTTTACCGCGCAGCAATCCGGTGACTCACAACTGCTCTGTTACCGGTGATGGTGAAACTGGGAGTTTCCAAACTGCATAAATGCTGAGGAGATGCTTTTAGTGGGACATGCACTCAGTACCATTTGCCTCTCAAGGGTTGCAGGTCACATTCTGAGGCAGCAGAGGTTTGAGATTTTATTATGATGAGTCGTAACACTTTTCATATAACCTCTGTCTAGCTCACTGCAGTTCTTCCTGTGTTGTAAAATTTGACTTAAAGGATTGTTTATTGAATGCTTTTAATTGACAAATTAAAAAAGAAGTTCCTTGAAGAGCATCAGTCAAAAGATTTACGAAACTCATTATCTTGCATTTTGATTTCAGATGGGGATTTGCCATTCAGAGTTTGTAAATGGCCTTTATATTAAGGGAAAAACTTAAAGCACCAAATGCAAGCCCACGTCTTGGTCTTTTCAGATCAAGGCCTTATATTAAAGCAAGCATACTCAAAGCTCTGTCTTATGTTTTCTACTGAATTGTTTTTAAATATAGTTACCTCGGCCTGCTCTGTAATCTCTGTCAAGATCTTAGACCAAAGTGTGATTTTTTAAAATCTATTTGGACCCCGTGTGGTATTTTTGTCTGGTCATTAATGCAATGGCATGGTGTCTGTGTGCACCCTATCTCACCCGCTGTACTCTACTGGCTTTGGATTCCCTTGGCCAATTTCAGTCACAGCTGGCAGAAGGATGGAGATGGCAAAGACATTAAGTTCTTAACAGTTATATGAGGTGTCTGAGTAAAGAGGCAAGCGACACTAAGTAAGTCCTATCTGCCCCCTATTGAAAAGGACTTTAATAAGCCATCACTTCGTTATTCTGAGAGAACCTGTACAGACAAGCAAGCCATCGGAAACTGGGCGTCGTTCATTTTGTTGCTTGCTCAGCTGTTTAGCTGGTGTGAATTTCCTGCGCCAAGTGATTTATTTGCATTTTATAATGACAATTTTTTAAAATATGCTCGAGTTTGATATTTTGGTGCATTTTGTGCTTTTGTTCCCCATTAGCTAGAGGTTGACAACAAGTGGCTTCAAAAGTCACATTCAGGTAGCAGTTGGGTTATGGACGTTTGTTTTCTTCTTTCCAGATGGAACTGGTGGGTATTTGCTAGAGGGGAATCTCAGTCCCAGACTTGCAGTATAGCAAGATGTGTTTTTGAAACTACCACTCAGCTCACTGCAGCTGTGCTGAATGGTCATCATTTGTATTTTAAAAGGTCAGGGACTGGGTCACCTACTTCTAGGCCACTTCAGAGGCTTCATCCTCACGCAGCTGTGGGCTCTCAAACTTTGGTGGTGTAGGCATGTGCTGCAGGAGTGCCCTGTCCCCCCACATGTATTGGGAACCACACCGGAATTGGTCGAATTGTTTCTGTGAGAAATGTTGCAAATGCTGCTGTAGACGCAAGCTTTAGACACTCAGCTGTTTTCCTGTGGCCCACCACAACTAGAATGTGATTTTCAAGTCAACAGAAGGACTGTAAATCTGAAGCTGGACCAGCTTTACTTACTGTGAGGTTTTCTTAATGCCTCAGTCTCCATAGCAATGTAAGTAAGTGCTCCTTCCGCTTGAGTGCCTCTTCTGCATGTGTGTCTTACTGAATACTGGGAGGGCAGTGCCAACATCTTTTCCTGGAAATAAATTTGGGAAGGAGGAGGAGTGTTGGATGCTGGCTCTGCTGGAGTTGGTTACTACAAACTAACAAAAAGCACGTGACTGTGACAGAAGGGCAGACTGACACATGCTTCGTGGACAGGGACCGATCCAGGCAGGGAAGGGCTGTCACCAGCGGGAAGGGCTGTACTGGCCAGGAATACCCGACAGAGTGGGGCCAATCATGGGTTTGGTCCTCAACCGCACTCTTCTTATTAGGAGTCTTATTAGGAATAGATTTTGCAGGAAATAAAATGCAGTCCTGGAAGGCAGGGGAATGAGGTATTAGTCACTGATGTTAGTCATTGACAGCTTCTGCCTCATGGGCTGTTCAGGCTAAAGACTTTCCTTAGCCTGAGAAAGGAAATCTTTCATTAGCTAATTATTTTCCTTAGCAGTGCTGTAAGGGTGTCAGCAAATAACACAATTCCTGGCAGTGCTACTGCACTGTCTAGTGCCTGCCCTGTGTGATCAGGGGAGAATGGTGGGGAAATTTTAATGAAATAAATTCTGTCAGGGCTGGAAAATATGAATAGCTCCAAAATGCTGTTTAGAGCTGACCCCGTAGCAATCAGTTCTGATAATCTTCTGTGTACAAATGAGGAATCCGCGTGTTGTCTGATACCTGGATTTCGACTGTTTTCTAGCCGTCTTTGACATTGTGCCAAACATAATATGAAGGCGTGGTGTTGAGCCTCAGAGCACTTACAAAGATCAGTTAGCTTGCTACTGAAACACATTTGCCTCCAATAGGAGCAATGATATAGCCTACAGAACTGAAAGAGGAAAGCACAATATCCCAGGGAGACTGCACCTGAGGATTAGGTGGGCAGGGTGGATCTACATGCTTGGTGAGTCAGAAGTGGCAAGGCCACATTCCCGCTGCCGGCGGTGTGCCATAAGATTGGCCGTGGCAGAGTTGTCAGTGCCTTGCTAGCAAGACTTTTCCCCTCCCACCCCAATGAAGGTTAGATTTTTTCAAAAGTACAGAAGGACTATGGGGCCTCATAGCCACTCGCTTTGACAGGAGCCAGCAGTGCTAGCCTCTTCAAGGCATCTTTGAAAACGTCAGCTTAAAATAGTTAATGGACAGTTGATGGAGCAGAATAAGCTAAGGAGCCTCCTTTACTTCTTAAAGTCAGTGTTTTGTCAAAGACTGAAGTTGGTACTATATACGGTTATCCCTGCTGATCTGTGTTTTTGCTAATTATGTTGTCCCAGCTTCTGAAATCTTTTCTTTGAGTTCCTGTGAACTTTTTCATTAGTCTCGTGTCATGATCACGTAATTTGATACTGGCCTTTCAGTAGCTTGGCTTTTTTGCACATGTCTGGTGGTCTTTTTGGTATTTCAGTTCCATCGTGACAAATCAGTCTTCAGCACAGCTTTTTTTGTGTGTTTAATAACATAAAGAACTTGGTTTCTGCATTGACTTAAAACGTCGTGCTTATAAATTAGGAATCGAGCTCCTGGTTTCTGCTCTAAGCAACACGTATTGTAAAGTAGTTGCTCTTCTTGATGTACCTGGTAGCTGTTATTGCAAGAGTGATGTGGTTCTCCACTCCCCAGGGTACCTGAGCATGGTGCTGTGCTTGTTCTGTGTGGAGAGAAAACAAAGCTGGTCAGCTGATTGTATCTCTGTCTGTGCCCACAAAGACAGACTTTTTAATTAGGTGCACTTTTTCTCTTCCTGACGTTTTCGTGGCAGGTGCACAAGTTTCCATAAACTTCCCTTGCTAATATCCACTTACCTTTACAAAATCCATTTCTCACCATAAGCTTGCTTTAACCCAGTTGTTCATTTTGCTGCAAGTGATTCTAATTAGGACATCTATTCTCTGTTCAAATTTATGTAATTTAGCTTTACTCCACAGGTCTGTGAGAAGAAAATCAATGGTCTTGCTTGAAATCTTATTTCATTTAAGGAAAATATACCTTTCTCAAATAAGTCATTACAAAATCTGTGTTAATACAGATATTTCTGTATGCAGAAAGGAATAACTCTACCAATATAGATCAACTTTATGTTGGAAGAACAGTATCTGCACTGACACTTTTCCTGGTATGATTATTTCAGTTTTAAAAAAAAAAAGTCACATCTTAAATTGACCGTTAAAGCTTTCTAGCAGCCCAGGAATCTTTTACTAAAAACCATAAGAAGCACTTCTAAACTGTACCTTCAATTATTTGTTGTTATTACTAGGTTAATTGTTATTTAAAAAAAAAAAAAAAAACCTTTTGTGCCCAAGGTAAGTTTTCTACGACTGCAAATGTCATCGTGCATGCTTACCTGACAGCCAGAGAATAACACTGCCACAGCATTAATTCTCATGGAAATAGTCAGCGTCCATGACAAATGCTGTAAAAGCAGCTGATGCTTACAGGGTAACATAATTCCAAATTCTGACCAGCTCTCTCCCTAGCGTCATTGTTGCGGTCCTCTGGAGGAGGGAGAGAGAGTCACTGCTCTTCCCAGAGAAGAAGCCGTCCTTTTGAAGCGTGATATCAACACATCCATTTTTCTGTTTTTCAGGATCTTTCCCAGAGAGTATCTTCTTCAGCAAATCCATCTTTATTCTCTCTCAGACCTCCAGCAGGTAAGTTTCTTCCACTGGTTCTACCTGTTACACGCCAAGCAAGTTCTCATCTTCAATGCTAATTGCACGTTCTCCTTTCTTGCTAATCATAGCGTAAGCAGCTCTGCATCCAAGCCATTTCTGTGGTTTATAGTTTGATACAAAAATCGGTAAACAGGAGCATTGGGTTAGGATTGAGAGAGCAAGCCCAGAGCTGCAGCTGAAATGGGGCTGGAAGGAGGTTATGAAAGAACAGTGTAGGCTGCAGAGACTACTGTAAAAATTTTTTAATCTGGACAAAAGCTGTGGGCGAGCCTCATCTAAGACTCAGCCTTCAGGTGACAAGTAATCTTTACTGAAAGAATAGTTCTTTAGGAGTTTTATGAGTTTGTACAGTCTCTAGTGTATCACAGTTATTTACTAAGTCTGCTAGGCATTACCACAATACAAAAAAAAAGTACATCAGGCCTATTGCACAGAGTTAAGCCACACAGTGTTACTGTGACACTCATAACCACAGCACAAGATGTGTGCCAGCAAGATGTGTCTTTGCATTAATGGTTGATGTTGATTGATCTAAGCAAACAGCTTGCGGTGCATATACCTGAACAGCAAAATTTTATCACATACCAGATTAAACAAGAAGAATTTGGCAAAAAAGAACTGAAAAGAGAGGGTAGGGAATCCGGGCTGAATGTGCTGGAGTGCTCAGATGAACAGTCAAGGAAGTAATGAGGTAAGACGGGCTAGCTGATCTAGGCACATCTGTGTACGCAGTCTTATGTCATTACCAGTGATATGTAAAAGGCATTAAGCTTCTTTCACAGAGGTTTCCCCTGCTTGACCTTGCTTTTTCTGCAGGGTGAGGCGTTGCATAGTCAGTTCTGGATGTTCAGTTGACACGTTAAGTTGAGGTTATTCAGATGCTTCTCAGAGCTGGGAACTGCAAAACCATAGGAAACAACATGGCTTTTGTTGGCTGGTGAAACCATGAAATGGAAATGATTCCATAAATATGAAAAACAAGAAGGCCAGTCATTTGAGATCTAAAACTGTTTCCACAGCTTTTCAGCATGTTCTTCTATCTCATCTTTAATAATGAAGCCATGAAATAGCAAGCTGCTTAACTCCAGAGCTGCAATCTCCCTGGTGGGCCTGCCTATTAGCCCCCAGGGCTTTGTAAGCTGCTTAATCAGTTCCTAACACTGGTAGTAGATGTTTTAGAAGCAATCAGCAGCTTATCAAGCTGTGGGAGGCAGGGTGGGTAGAAGTCACAATTCATCCATTGATTTAGCCATTCCCCTTAGCATGTTTCTTTGTGTTTATTTGTGTTTGCAAAACACCTTCTCTTCCTGTGGGGGCCCCAGCCCCAAACTTACCATATTTGGAGGCAATATAATTCAATTAATGGAGTGGGTTAAATTGGATTTACTTTTTAATCTAGCCATACTGTTTTTTATCAGCCTAGAGAGGGTTTTCCACATTTCAGAGGCTCCAAGTTTGAAATCAGATTACCTGTTTTTGTCAAAGTGGAACCAGAGTGGAAAGGGGAGGAGGCCCCGTTGAGAAAATGTATCCAACAGCCAGAGAAATGCTAATACCCTCAAAGCCCCTGCCTCCTTTTTACCACTGTGTCTCCTGTTTGCTCATTGCTTTCTACTAACATGCAGTCTGGGTGTTTTTTAATCCTAAATGTTTCCGCTCCTTTTGATTCTTCTGCTGCCTGTTTCTTCATATCCATGGGCTACTTTCACACTGTATCCTGCTGTCATGTATATTGTCTGTATTTGGGGAATTAACTAAAAGATTTATTAAAGATTAATGGAAAGATAAGACATAGTGAGTGAATTAGAAAAGCAGAGAGGGGTAATCTGCAGAAATAAGCAACCTTTACCCTAGTTAGTCCCAGCTCAGTTCTGATTTGTTTCCTGGCCAAGTTCTCTTTAAAATCCTAGAAAACAAGGAACCCTTTTCTACTAAGCAGTGGATTTTAAAATGTGATATGAAGGTCTGTTTGCAGGTGCAAGACAGTTGAAATGTGTGTTTGCCAGTGGATGAAGTGGCATATAAAAGTATTTTAAAAGGAAATCCAAGGTAAACCTCTTTCCCCATGCAACAGAGCTCCATGCCTAGGCTTTATAGGTGCAGCAGAGTATGTACTTGAGCTATCTGATGGTCTGGGGATGGTTGTTATTTGGATCCATTTGGACAGGGCTCTATTGGGGGAGACCTTAACTATGAGATTAAATGTGTAGGGAGGGGGGAACAGAAACAAAATATCTTTAGTTTTAGAAGCTTGCCAAACTCCCAAAGAGGTAATGCTTTTGCTAGGCCTTTGCTGATTAACAGATGCTCCTAGTGCAGATGAGTAGGCCTGGCCTTTAATCAAAGAGGCAGCAGGTGAGTGATGGTCTTTATTGTATATGCATGTGCACATACACAGACAGACACGCTCACTGCACGCCCCAGCAGGGTTTCACTGCAAACCGGTGCCCTGTAACTACAGCAAAGTTTACGGCAAATCTGCCTATGGGCATTCTGGTGGGGTATGTATTCTTAGCCTCTTCTTGTCACTGTTGTCACTGGAGATATTAGCAGGCGAGATAACTGATTAGGTGCATTCAGATTTAACGAGCAGAAACAAAAAATATGACAGCTCACCTATTCTGCCCCATTGGCTACAGTTATTCCTTGCCAACCCTGGCCTGAGTCACCAGTGAGGCTTCTGTTAAAACTTCACTCTATCTCAGTTAGCCAATTTATCCTAGGCTATTCTGATTGATTAAAGCTTTAAAGAGGAAGACCTCCTGAAATTACTATTTTTAGCAGATAAAGTACATTAGGGAAAATGATGCCTCCTATTTATATGCGGTACAGTCCCTGACGGTGCAGTCACAGTCCTGCGTAGCTTCACCATAAACATTGTGGTGGTACCAACTCTGTTCTCTGCTCATATAACTAATGGAGGTGTCACTGGTTTTGTGATAGGTGGACACAGTTCATCCACATTGAAGTTCAAAATTATCCATTCGTTTCATGCAACGAGGGAGCTTCTTTTGATTAAACCGACGGCTTTAAACTGGACAAGCTGACTCAGATGAGACTCTTGCCTTTCTTAGGAAAAATAATTCTTGCTGCTTACACTAGATTCCAGCATAACTGGAACTTGTCAAGTAAAAGACTTGAAGGGGTGTTGTGACCAGCTCAACACTTGTGCGCTTAATCCACACAGAGTAACTAATATCTTGCCTGGTTTTTATGTTAAATAACAAGATGTACAAGTGCACAAAGAATATTGCAGTGATATTCTTTAGAAAGACTTTTCTTTATGGAATTTTTTTCGTTCTAGTTACACTACCCCCGAACGATACAAAAAAAAAAATCTATGTAGTAGTAAAAATGACTGGACGTCAAGGATGGAAGCCTTGAGTGTGATAGGAGGTATAAAAACATGATGATTTGAAGACTCGTTTACATACGAACACTCAGGAAAAGTTCTCTTTGAGGTGATGAAATATGGGGATTTAAAATGATGAGATGAACTGCATTGAACCCCTGCGTAAATACTGATATTCAGAAATTAAGTGGCTTTCGTTTGGCTTGTCTCCATTTACTTTGGAAGCAAAGTAAGCTAAATTGTATTAAGGCCATTTTGATTCTGAATATGTGTGTCCATACAGGGGCTTAATGTAGTGTAGTTCATCCATTTTAACATTGTAGATAAGCTAACATTTAATATTAACATTTAATTAAGACATCCATTTAGTTCAGATCAACTTTCCTGGCTATCTATGTGCAGATGAACCATTAGGGAAGAGATCAGGGACAATGTGAAGAACAGTGGAGAGGAAGGACGAACAGGAGAACCCTGTTCTCACAATAATACAGCACGGGTCATACAGTGAGTCTGAGGTACATATAAAACTCATTAATGGAAATGCTTCTTTATAGAACTCATAGCGAGCATGAGGAACTTAATGCCACAATAATATTGCTGGGGCCAGAAGTTTATCATCACTGAGAGGATTAAGTATCCATAATAAGAATGTCCCTAATTATACTACATAAAATAAAGAGATTATAAGGTTTCAGAATAGACACGTTAGTTACCGATGAGATTTGGAAGATATTTTTGCTACTGGTGGATGGATCAATGATTTCATCTTCCCCTGACATATCTAGTAGTGATTGCAGCCTGTGATAAGATTTTTGTAAATAATTGGTCTGACAGAAGCATTCCTGATATGAAAATACTGATATTTCTGTTGAAAATTTTACAAATATAATATTTCCTAACAGAAATGTGGGGAAGAAATACAAACTTCAGTGAGGCTTAAGTTCCGCCTAATTTGAGCCTGGTATATTGTTAGACCAGTATTAGAGCACTTTAGAAGAACGAGGAAATGGTTAAGGTTGGTTCACTTCTGCAGGCTCTTCTCTCATGCTGCACTTTCCTCTTTCCTCCTCTTCCAGGGGCAAATTTGGGTCCCTCTGTATTTTCCTAGACTGAGGCAGAGGATGAGATGGAAGGTGCTCTCTCTAGCATTCTTGCATGTGCAAAACTTTGAGTTCATTTAGACTAGTTAATACATGAGTCCCCAACAATAACAAAGACTCTAAGGAGATGTGGAAATGTATTTAGATTTTTGTTGCTCCTTTTTTTTTTCAGAATTAAAACTTCTTCTAATCACTCAGTCCTCATACAATTACCGAGAAATGCTCAACTTACATTTTTAATGCACTGCCTAGTGACTTCTAAACCCACCGGTGGTGGTGTCCTCATCCAACAATATATTTTCATTCACTCATAAACATAGTTCCCCCAGCAGAATTTGCAAACTGTATAACCTTCATTTGATTAGGAGTCCCTGCTGGCAGTATAATTGACTTTCTAGCTTCTTGCTCTCTTTACTTTTGCGTTTCAGCACTGAGGTGTAAAGGAGACAGAAGTGAGAGGCCTGTCTCGATGGATTTTCAGTGACACTAGCTCTCTTTGAGGATGTAAGCGAGCTCATTGCAGA